ATATTCTTCACTAAAACATACCCTCCGTGAGAGCAGTGGCCTTATATGTTTAGTTTGTTCTTGTTTCCACTGGTATAGTGCCTGATCCATACTTACATGCTAAGAAGTCTGTATTTGTGAATAAATAAACTAATGAGCAAATACATGACAGAACAGTGGTTCAATAAAGATACAACCTGCCTTTCCCTATCTTTCTGTTTTCTTCCTTCACTAGCATAATTGAGTCAACCCAAGCACTGAGAACATGATAGGACACTGGGGAGTGACAGGATGAATAATGCTTGGAGATGGTAAGTAGAGAAGATAGCTAGTATAGCAAGGGGGATTGGTTTCAAGTAAATAAATATTTTATGGATAATGGAAGACAGGTTTTTAAATTTTTTCTTAAAATTTTTTTTTTTCTGAGACAGAGTCTCACTCTGTTGCCTGGACTAGAGTGCCATAGTGTCAGCCTAGCTCACAACAACCTCAAACTCCTGGGCTCAAACGATCCTCCTGCCTCAGTCTCCTAAGTAGCTGAGACTACAGGTGTGTACCACCACGCCCAGCTAATTTTTTCTATATATATTTTTAGTTGTCCAGTTAATTTTCTTTCTATTTTTAGTAGAGATGGGGTCTCGCTCTTGCTCAGGCTGGTCTTGAACTCCTGAGCTCAAAGGATCCACCCACCTTAGCCTCCCAGAGTGCTAGGATTACAGGCATGAGCCACTGCACCCAGCCTCATTTTCTTTTTTTCTTTATAGATAGGATCTCATTCTGTCACTCAGGCTGGAGTGCAGTGATACGGGTGCGATCATAGTTCACTGCAGCCTCAAACTCCTGGGCTCAAGCCGCCCTTCACTTCAGCCTCTCGAGTAGCTAGGACTGTAGGCATGTACCATCATGCTCAGCCTGGAAGGCAAGTTTTTAATTGATAGGCAAGATCTTTATAAATGTGAAAAGGGAGAAGGCCTGAAAGAACCCAGTGTTGTTCTAGAATTGGAGTTATCACTATGAACTCATGGCTTTAAAATATAAATACATAAACAGATATAGATATAGACATAGACATAGATAAACATGTGTGTGAATACATATATACATACATATATTTCCTAGCTCTGTTTACTTAGGGTACCTAGAAGCAGCAACACATTGACAACAATTAGTAAACTGAGTGTATAGATCTTGGTTTCTAAACTGTTCTTTACTAAAAGAAAATGAAGTTTCTCAGAGAAATGGCTGATTTCAGGGCTAGAGCAGAGAAAGTACAAGATAAGCTTAAAATATTTCTGCCAGAAAGTAAAGAAATGCTGAATGAATGATAGGAACATATCGAAAGGACACAGGAGGGATTTCAACTTCCAGCCATAATAGATTGTTACTAAACTTGCCCTCCTGCCAAAAACACGTAGAAAACTAGATAAAATATATGAAACAAAGTTCTCAGACACTGAACAACAAGCAATACAAAACTGTGATCCTTGAGAAAAAGAAACAAAGTGAGCTCTACGGTCATCTAGACTTTATGCCTGGAAGGGCTTTCTGAAAAGAGGTACAAGGAAGGGGATTCCAAACAAATCATGACAGTCAGCTGACTTTGAGGATAGAGATCAGAGTTTGCCTGAGGATAGAGGTCCTCTTGAGTCTTTGGCTAAATACTACTAATCATGCTATGGTGAGACTTCATGAGAATATGCAACGGACAACTAATGGGAGGAGTTATAAGCTGAACAATTCCTAGAGCTCACACAAGGCTAAGTGACATTTTAGTTCTGACCAGCCAAAGTGAAAAGACCTTGTTGAACGTATGGGGCATTCAGTAGAGATCCAAGCAGAGACATGCTTTAGTAGTAAAGATAAACTAAACCTAAAGGAAAGGCTACTCTAGACCTTTCCTACAACGCTTAAAAACAAGTCTCGGCTGGGCACGGTAGCTCACGCCTGTAATCCTAGCTCTCTGGGAGGCCGAGGCGGGCGGATTGCTCGAGGTCAGGAGTTCGAAACCAGCCTGAGCAAGAGTGAGACCCCGTCTCTACTATAAATAGAAAGAAATTAGCCAGAGAACTAAAAATATATAGAAAAAATTAGCCAGGCATGGTGGCGCATGCCTGTAGTCCCAGCTACTTGCGAGGCTGGGGCAGGAGGATTGCTTGAGCACAGGAGTTTGAGGTTGCTGTGAGCTAGGCTGACGCCACGGCACTCACTCTAGCCTGGGCAACAAAGTGAGACTCTGTCTCAAAAAAAAAAAAAAAAACAAACAAAAAACCCCAGATGTTATTAATTGTTTGAGGATCTAAAGGAAAACATGAACATAATGAGGAAAGAAACAGAAAACACTCAAAAAACAGATCTTTCAGAGCTATAAATATCTGAAATGAAAAATTCCATAGATGGGATTAGACACTGCAAAATAGAAGTTTAGATACAGCAGAAAGTTAATGAACTTGAAGACAAAGCAAGGAAACCATCCAAACTGAAGCATAGAGGGAAAAAAGAGTGGAAAAAATAAACAGAGCCTCAGTGACTATGGGACAATATCAAGTGGTCTTGCATACACGTATAATTGGATTTCCAGAAAGGCAGCAGGAGAATATTTGAAAAAAATATGGCAGAAAACATTCTAATTTGATGGACGCAATAATCCCACAGATTCAAGAAGTTCAATGAATTCCAATCAGACATTTGATATTTAATAAATAAATAATATAAAATATAAAAACCGTTTAGAAGTCAGAGATTGACAAACTGGGTCTGTTTAAAAACAGATCACAATTATAAGTTGTCTACAAGAAGTATAATTTATAAAGACACAGATAGGTTAAAAGGTAGAAGGAAGTTGTGTGCAGTGGCTCACACCTATAATACTAGCACTTTGGGAGGCCAAGGTAGGGGACTGCTTGAGGCCAGGAGTTTAAGACCATCCTAGGCAGCATACAATATCCTATTTCTATAAAAAGTAAAAAAAAATTTGCCAGGTATGGTGGCATATATCTGTAGTCATAGCTACTCAGGAGACTGAAGCAGAAGGACCACTTGAGTCCAAGAGTTCAAGGTTACAGTGAGCTAGATTGTACCACTATACTCCATCCTGAGCAACAAAATAAGTAGACAGAAAGCAAAAGATATACCATGTAAAAACTAATCAAAAGAAAGCTCAACTACATTAATGGCTACATTACTATCAGACAAAGTAGACTTTAACACAAAGAATATTACCAGAGATAATGAGAAACATTTCATGACTAGAAAAGATCAATTCATCAAGAAGACATAATAATCTGAATGTATACACGCCTAATAATGTAACTTCAAAATCTATTAAGCGAAACTGACAGAAATGAAAGGAGAAACAGACAAATCCATAATTATAGATGGAGATTTAAATACTCCTTTCTTAGAAACTAACAGAACAATTGGGCAAGTAAGACAGGTTAGGGAAGACTTGAACACTAAAAACCAACTTGACTTAATGTACATTAGAACAGCAGTCCCTTTGAAACTTATTTTCAGGTCTAAAAGTAAAATAAAAAAAATAAAATAAAAAAAAAAAAAAGAACAGCAGTCCCCAACATTTTTGGTACCAGGGGACCAGTTTCATGAAAGATAATTTTTCCACAGACAGGGCTGGCAGGGGTTGTTGAGAAGGGAAGGTTTCAGGATGATTCAAGAGCATTATATTTATTGTGCAGTCAAACCTCTCTGCTAATGATAATTTGTATTTCCAGCTGCTCCCCAGCACTAGCATCACCGCCTCAGCTCCACCTCAGGTCATTAGGCATTAGATTCTCATAAGGAACATGCAACATAGATCCCTGACATGAGCCGTTTATAGGAGGGTTCACACTCCTATGAGAATCTAATGTCACTGCTGATCTGACAGGAGGCAGAGCTCAGGTGGTGATGTGAGTGATGGAGAGTGGCTGTATATACAGATGAAGCTTCACTCACTCGCCCTGCCCACTGCTCAGGTCCTGCTGTGTGGCCTGGTACCTAACAAGCCATAGACGGGTACTCATAGGCAGCCCAGGGGTTGGGGACCACAGCATTAGAACACCATATTCAACAAAGCAGAACAGAAAATCTTTTCGGATGCACATGAAATATTTAACAAGACAGAAACAATACAAAATATATTCTCTGATCATAACAGAATTAAATTATAAATCAATAACAAAAAAGATTATCTAGAAAATCCACAACATTTAAATTATTAATAAGTAACATACTTCTAACAACCCATTGGTCAAAGAAGAAATTACCAGGAAAATTAGAAAATATTTCAGAATAAATGCATATTAAAACACAACATATCAGGCCGGGCGCTGTGGCTCACGCCTGTAATCCTAGCTCTTGGGAGGCCAAGGCGGGCGGATTGCTCAAGGTCAGGAGTTCAAAACCAGCCTGAGCAAGAGCGAGACCCCGTCTCTACTATAAATAGAAAGAAATCAATTGGCCAACTGATATATATATAAAAAAAATTAGCCGGGCATGGTGGCACATGCCTGTAGTCCCAGCTACCAGGGAGGCTGAGGCAGAAGGATCGCTCGAGCCCAGGAGTTTGAGGTTGCTGTGAGCTAGGCTGACGCCACGGCACTCACTCTAGCCTGGGCAACAAAGCGAGACTCTGTCTCAAAAAAAAAAAAAAAACACACACAACATATCAAAATGTGGGGATACATTTAAAACAGTACTTGAAGAAAATTTATAGTTTATATTGTAGAAAAAAGAAGGCCTAAAATCAATCATCTAAGTTTATACTTTATGAATCTAGAAAAAGAAGAGCAAACTAACCCCAAAACAAATTAGAAAAAGGAAAAAATAAGAATAGATATTGATAAAACACAAAATGGACAATTGATAGAAAAAATCAACAGCACCAAAAGATGATTCTTTGAAAAGAAAAAGAGAGAAAAAACCACAAATGATCAATATTATGAATTAAAAAGAGTATATCACAACAGATCTTAAAGACATTCAAGAATACCAGGATATTAAATATTTGAAATCATCCAACCTACCTCTTCAAAGGAATATTTTTCTACAGTATGAAGAGCATCTTGTGTCTCATTCCACCCTCCAATAGAATAGATGCAGTCATTGAGTGCAGCCACCCCAAGATATGCTCTTCTGGTTCCCATTGGAGGAAGTGGAGACCAACGCTTAGAAAGTGGATCATAAACTTCGAAAGAACGAAGCTCTATTCCTTCATTGCTGATACCCCCAACTACATAAATTAAACCTGGAAATGGAATATTTTTGCTCAGATTCTATAGAAAATAAGATACAAATAATGTTGAAGAGTAATAGTGCTTTATGTTTGCTTTGCTGGTGCTATTTTTAATCTAGGGTTTACAATATTATTTAAGAGAAAATCAACTTCTGTCTAGTTTATCATGTCTCACATTTAAGCATGTGAAAATTAGGGGAATTAATTTAAAGTGGCATTGAATTTTCAAATAACTTAATGATACTGTAACAAAATAATTTGTCAGCCAAGGATTTTCTATCTCATTGTCTGTTTGGTGATCTCAGGTTCCAGACCCACTTCTACCACCCATAGATTTAAAAAAAAAAAACAGGGACATGGATGTTTTTTTCCCTAAAAATGTCATGCACTTAAGCTGGGAATATGTTGTTCAGAGGGACATAATATAAAATAGAGAATTTAAATTAGAATACTATGTGGCTAGATTAAGGTATCAGAATCAATTTCTAGAATACTATAAAATATAACTTACAGAGAGTTCCTTATTAAATTTGATTTGAAACTAATGGTTCTGATAATCTACAATTATTTTTGAGTCCCTAGCTTTGATCTCCATGTTCCAAAATAAGGAGTTATAAAGAATGACATTTTAAGAAACATGGGCTACATGTTAGTAAACTTGGGTTTTAGTTCCAGTTTTGCCAGTAACCAACTATAAGAAAAGACAACTCACAACTTTCTGGATCTTCATCTTCCTCATCTATAAATTAGAGTTTGATATAGATAATTTCTAAGATGCCTCTCTAACTCTATGATTTTAGGTGGGGAGATAAGAATAATAAATGTAAAACAAATAGAAAACACTATAATATTAAACAATAAAATATAGTCTGCACCATGTAATTTGAACATTTAAATGCTAGTGGAAATTGGAGACAGTAACCACAAAGCAGGAGGAACTTAAGCTGGAAACATAGCAGGCTGAGCTGGAAGGTTTGGGCAGTTTGGGCAAGTTGCTTCCTACTCCATAGGTGCATATAAATCAACTCTCCAATCCTGGACAGAGAATCAGCTTCTATTTAAAAGAACTTACTACCTACCTCTTAGAGTATATCAGACAATTAAAATAATGTTTGTATACCACTTTAATATGCAGCACATCATTTTTCAAATCAGTCATGATTATTTTCTTATATTCTTTTCCTTTGGAGAGACAGTCTTATTCTGTCATCTAGGCTGCAGTGCAGTGGCATGATCATAGGCTGACTACAGCTCTGAACTCTGTCACAGATTATGTTCTATATGGGCCAGGCATAGTGGCTCATGCCTATAATCCCAGAACTTTGGAAGAATGAGGTGAGAGGATTGATTGTTTAAGGACAGAAGTTCAAGACCAGCCTGGACTACATAATGAGAGCTCATCTTTACAAGAAATTTTTAAAAATTAGCTGGGCATGGTGGTGCACACCTGTAGTCCAAGCACTTTGAGAGGCTAAGGCAGGAGGATTGCTTGAGCCTAGAAATTCAAGGCTGCAGTGAGCTATGATCACACCACTGCACTCTACCCTGGGTGATAGAGTGAGACCCTGTACCTTAAAAAAATATATGTGTGTATGTATATATATATTTTTTTCTTTTTTTTTTGAGACAGAATCTCACTTTGTTGCCCAGGCTAGAGTGAGTGCTGTGGCATCAGCCTAGCTCACAGCAACCTCACACTCCTGGGCTCAAGCAATACTTCTGCCTCAGCCTCCCAAGTAGCTGGGACTACAGGCATGCGCCACCATGCCCAGCTAATTTCTTCTATATATATTAGTTGGCCAATTAATTTCTTTCTATTTATAGTAGAGACGGGGTCTCACTCTTGCTCAGGCTGCTTTCGAACTCCTGACCTTGAGCAATCCACCCGCCTTGGCCTCCCAGAGTGCTAGATTAAAGACGTGAGCCACCACGCCCGGCCTATATATATTTTTTTGATGTGGACTGAATCACAATGTACTTTTTTTTAACTGCTCCTGAAGCATTTATGCAATGTACTTTGTAAAAAAACAAAAAAGCCCAAAACACTAAAGAAGCCTATTAAGTAGAGACTATTAAAATTGTTCTTTGTTTTTTGGGGTTTTTTTGAGACAGAGTCTCACTCTGTTGCCCGGGCTAGAGTGTCATGGCATCAGCTTAGCTCACAGCAACCTCAAACTCCTGGGTTCAAGCAATCCTACTGCCTCAGTCTCTAAGTAGCTGGGACTATAGGCATATGCCACCATGCCCAGCTAATTTTATATATATATGTATTTTTTAGTTGTCCAATTAATTTCTTTCTATTTTTTTAGTAGAGACAGGGTCTCACTTTTGCTCATGCTGGTCTCCAACTCCTGAGCTCAAATGATCCGCCCCCCTCAGCCTTGCAGAGTGCTAGGATTACAGGCATGAGCCACCATGCCCAGCTTGAAAATTGTTTTTGATATTCCCTCCTACCTAGAAATATTTACTCAGATGGGGCTGGGCGCAGTAGCTCATGCTTGTAATCCTAGCACTTTGGAAGGACTGAGGCAGGAGGATCACTTGAAGCCAGCAGTTTGAGACTAATCTTGGCAACACAGCAAGACCTCCAACTCTACAAAAAAATTTTTTGATGGCACATGCCTGTAGTCCCAACTACTAGGGAGGCTGGGGCAGACTTGAACCCAGAAGTTTGAAGTTGCAGTGAGCTGTGATGATGCCACTGCGATCTAGCCTGGGCAACAGAGTGAGACCCTGTCTCCACCCCAAAAAAGAAAAAAAGAAATATTTACTCAGATGTTCATGGGAGAGAAAATGACAATAGCAGATGACATTTCAAAAGTTTATTTTGCTAACCAGGTATTTGTGCTTATCTGGAATTTTTAGTTCTAGCTTTGTTTATTTGGAAAAAATCAATTATTTTGGCAATACAGAAATAGAAGTCAATGATAAGAGGTACAAAGCAGAATTTCTATACTGCTAGTGTCAGTCATTCAATATTGACAGATCTAAAATATACTTTTATGAAAATAAAGCCTCAGGCCGGGCGCGGTGGCTCACGCCTGTAATCCTAGCACTCTGGGAGGCTGAGGCGGGCGGATTGCTCAAAGTCAGGAGTTAAAGCCCACTGTGCCCGGCCTGAAAAATCACTTTTAATTTCAAGAATTAGAGAGTTTTGGGCTGGGCGTAGTGGCTCACGCCTGTAATCCTAGCACTCTGGGAGGGGAGGTGGGCAGATCACTCAAGGTCAGGAGTTCGAAACCAGCTAAGCAAGAGAGAAACCCGTCTCTACTAAAAATAGAAAGAAATAATTGGCCAACTAAAATATATAGAAAAAATTAACCAGGCATGGTGGCGCATACCTGTAGTCCCAGCTACTCGGGAGGCTGAGGCAGAAGGATTGCTTGAGCCCAGGAGTTTGAGGTTGCTGTGAGCTAGGCTGACTCCAGGGCACTCTAGCCCAGGCAACCGAGTGAGACTCTGTCTCAAAAAAACAAACAGAGAATTAGAGAGTGTTAAAGAAATGCTATTGTGTGATTGAAGGACCTTTTTGAAGTTCCTTAAATGACACTAAATATATGGTATACTCTGATTCAGCTTAGAGCTGGCTACAATTCGGATAACTATTCTGAATATGTAGAAGTCATTTCAAAAGTTAGTTTTGCAAAATACCCTATTTCCCATGCAGTATATTGACATTTTTATTTTTGTTTGTTTTATTTTAGCCTCTAGTTAAAACTAGATGGGAAGTAAAAGACTTGAGTTCTACTCATAGTCGAATTTTAACTTTTTATGTGATTTTGGAACAAATAACCTCTCTAGTCCTTGTGATACTGATCCATAATATGAAGTATTTGGATTAGATGTATTCTAAGTTCTTTGTCATAAATAAGATTCCTTTATCCCAGAAATAAACATTTTTCTATTTGGTTATAGGTGGATGGGTTGGAGCTGAGATAGGAAACACCATTGAACGATTTGATCCTGATGAAAATGGGAAGTAGTTGGCAACATGCTGTGTCACGCTACTACTTTGGGTGCTGTGAAATGCAAGGTATTTACTTTAGAAATATTTTCCCTCAAAATATGTTTCCGAAAAAACAGTTCAGGTTTGAGGCTTTCTTTTCTTTTTTTTTTTTTGAGACAGAGTCTCACTTTGTTGCCCAGGCAAAAGTGAGTGCCATGGCGTCAGCCTAGCTCACAGCAACCTCAGACTCCTGGCTCAAGTGATCTCCTGCCTCAGCCTCCCGAGTAGCTGGGACTACAGGCATGCACCACCATGCCGGCTAATTTTTTCTATGTATATTAGTTGGCCAATTAATTTCTTTTATTTATTTATAGTAAGAACGAGGTCTCGCTCTTGCTCAGGCTTGGTTCG